AGGAATACTTTCACAAGTTCTCCACTGAAGCCCATCAGATTCTTGGAGTGGATTTGGAGTTAGTCCTTCTTGAAGGGCTCTGCTTAGGACCTTTCTATTCATCAATAATGCAGGAGACGGTGCGCTCTTACACTTATCTCATCCATCGCGTCAAAACTTAATTTTCTGCAGACGAGACCATCATTGTACATAAAGAACAATTTCAGTGATTGAAAGGCAAGCACAAGATTAACGTCGGGGATACCGATCAAATCTTACAGCGAAAAATGTTCGGACCACAAGGGAATCGTGAACCACAATAAAAAAAAGAATAAATGTCACTCAACGCATCAAGTGTCAATATCCTAATGTCCATCAAAGATGAGAAATATGGTGGAGACCAGTTTCAATATTATCTTTTCCACCATGCAAAAAGGCATTCGATGGAAAGATGTTTTCAATTAAAAGAAAAATTGAATGTCTGATGTGTCAAGATCATCTAGGTCGCTACTTACAAGAAGAAGGAGAGGGGAACTAGAAGAGAATCATTGGAGTTATCGAATGAAAAGTACACCTCCAAATTATCATATTTGAATAAGAGTTGGCTTGTAAACTCCTAACATTATTTTAGTAAGATTTTCATGTTGCTTTAAACTGTTATTTCAGTGAAATTTTCTTATATTATAATGAAAGACTTTTGTGTAGAAAGTTCCCCTGAGGGAAAGTGGTAGACAATGTTCTCATCCATGTCGCTGGAAGTCGAGCCCAAGAGGCCAAACCCAATGGGAAGATACTATACTCCTAGAAGTCGAGCCAAAGAGGCAAGACTCGATGAGAAGCTACCATGCCCCTGGAAGTCGAGCCCAAGAGGCAAGACTTAATGAGAAGACATGGTACTCCTGAGTCGAGCTCAAGAGGCAAGACTTTAGAAGTCGAGCCCAAGAGCCCATGATTAGAAGCTATCTTGCCTCTAGAAGTCGAGCCCAAGAGGCAAGACTCAATGGGAAGATACGATACTGTTGGAAGTCGAGCCCAAGAGGCAAGACTCGATGAGAAGATACGATACTGTTGGAAGTCGAGCCCAAGTGGCAAGACTCGATGAGAAGCTACCATGCCCATGGAAGTCGACCCCAAGAGGAAAAACTCGATGAGAAGATACGATACTCCTAGAAGTCTCAATGAGAAGCTACCACACCCTTGGAAGACGAGCCCAAGAGGTAAGTCTCGATGAGAGCTACTAGTGGACAAAGTCCTCACTAAAAGAACTCCACAAGAGCAAGTGGTTGATAGGGCCTCCACTAAAAGACCTCGGAAGGCTACAAGCCTCAGAAGTCATAGGTACATCAAAGACCTCAGAAGACTGCAAGTCTCAGAAGGTACATGTACATCAAAGACCTCAAAAGGCTACAATCCTCAAAAGTTATAAGAACATTAAAGACCTCAGAAGGCTACAAGCCTTAGAAGGTGTCAGTTTATTTCAAGCTCCTATAAGGTATAAGCCCGAGAGGCACGACCACAGAAGACAATACTCAAAAGGTACGCGGTTCTTCTTTTTATAAAGTGTATTTACTAACTTTAATTACATAATTTTAAACGATTAAGAAGTCATAACAACCTCAGAAGCAACGTCAAGGACGTACAAAGAAATAAATTATCATCTATAAATGTCACATCAGATAATTAAAAATATTATAAAGGCTAACAAGAACTGGTACAAATGCTATAAGGATATTGTCGCTATAGAAACATGAAATTCTCCCCCTGAAAGTGTGGCGGGAAAAATCTAGTATTTCTTCATCTCCACTGAAATGTGCAGCAGGAACAAGTAAATTAAAGAACTGGTGAGTTCATTAAAAACCTCAAAAGGCTACAAGTCTCATAAAACACAAGTAAATTAAAGAGCTCGGAATGCTACAAGCCTAATAAGACACAAGTACATAAAAAACCTCAGAAGGCTACGAGCCTTAGAAGATGTCAGTTCATTCCAAGCTCCTATAAGGCACAAGCCCGAGAGGTACGACCACGAAAGACATGAGACTCAAAAGGTACGCAGTTCTTTTTTTTATAAAGTGTATGTGCTAACTTTAATTACAAAATTTCATACGGTTCAGAAGCCATAAAAGCCTCAAAAGCAACATCAAAGACGTACAAAGAAATAAATCATCATCTACAAATATCACATCAGATAATTTAAAAAGCTATAAAGGCCAACAAGAACCGGTACAAACACTATAAGAGATATTGTCACTATAGAAACATGAAATTCTCCTCCTGAAAGTGTGGCGGGAAAAATCTAGTATTTCTTCATCTCCACTGAAATGTGCAGCAGGAACAAGCAAAAAAATCCTAAGTCACATGTTGGGTAGAGACTGAGATAACTTTCTTCATCTCATTAATGTGAAAAAAGATCATGTTGTTCGCCTGCTACGCAGGACGTAAATGACTTTCTGTTGCACCGCAATGTGAAAGAAGATCCCATAGCTCGTATGATGCGCAGGACGGAGATGACTTTCTTCTTCGCCACAACGAGAAAGAAGATCTCGATGTTTACCTATTACGCACGACGAGAACGACTTTCTGCTGTACTGCAATTTGAAAGAAGATCTCATTGCTCGTCTGTTATGCATGACAGGGATGACTTTCCTCTTCGCCGCAATGAGAAAGATCACGTTGCTCGCATGCTACGTAGAGCAGAGACAACTTTATGCTGCACCAAAACATGAAAGAAGATCTTGTTGTTTGTCTGTCATGCAGGACGAGGACAAGCTTCCTTTTCATCGCAATGAGAAAGAATATCTCATTGCTCACCAACTACGCAGGATGGGGACAACTTTCCTCTTCGCCACAATGTGAAAGAAGATCGGGTTGCTCACCTATTTCACAGGACGGGGACTACTTTCCTCTTTGTCACAATGTGAAAGAATATCATGTTGTTCGCCTGCAACACAGGATGACGCTTTTCTCTTGGCCGCAACGAGAAAGAAGATCTTGTGGTTGGTCTGGTACGCACGATATGAACTACTTTCTTCTCTTGGGAAATCCTATATCGACTATTAGGCAAGGATGGTGACTCCACTTTCTTTCTCATTTCCTTAGCCTCTATTTATAGTCTTGAGATTAGTCATAACATTACACGCAATTGAATAAAAAAAAAACAAACTTAAACATGTTAGTATTCTTTTATCGTTTGATCTTCCATCTTCAATCTTTTGGCTTTCCATCTTCTAACCTATGGTATTCCACCTTATATAAAAAAAAATTGAAAAGTCAGAATTGCTCATTAAATTTTACACTTATGAGAACGTTTGATAAACGTGTTATTAAAAAAATTGAAATCTATCATAATTCTCTTGTCATTTGATCTTCCGTCTTTCATCCTTTGGGGTTTCCGCCTTCTTGCATTTGGTATTTCACCTTATCTAAAAAAAAATTGAAAAGTCGGAATTCCTCATTAATTTTTATATTAATACTTATGAGGGTGTAACGTTTGATAAATATGTGTTATAAGAAAAAAATAAAATCTCTCATAATTTTCTTGTCGTTTGGTCTTCTGCCTTCCATTCTTTGGCTATCCGCCTTCTAGCCTTTAGTATTCCACCTTATACTAAAAAAAAATATGAAAATCAGAATTCTTCATTAAATTTTATATTAATACTTATGAGGTTATAACGATTGATAAATATGTGTTAAAAAAATACTGAAATCCACTTAAATTTTTTTTATTATTTGATATTCCGCCTTCTTTATTCCAATTAAAAAAAAAAAAATCAACTTCAAGCCCGCAGTAAAAAAAAATCTTAATTTTTTGTCCCTTGCAAGGATTGAACCGCCACCCGCCAGTGAAGAAAAATGCCTCTACCAACCGATATTTGCTTCATCATATAGATGTATATATTAGTATTATTATACAAATTCTCACAATAATATAATATATACTCATAAGTATATATATACATGATAAAAAATAAAAAACTTTATATTTTAATATTTTCGGACGATGAAATTGATATCACTCAAAAATAGAGGGGCAACTAATACACCGTCAATAAAATTCTATCAACCAACACAAATCTCGAGGCATTACACGGATCTTGAGACGATTTTTTGAGCAATAAATATTCAAACATCGAAAAAAAATAATCTAGAACTCCAATTTCAATAAACTTAAAGTCAAACTGACTAGCTCGACAAGAAGAATTCAATGTTATCAAAATTAGTCCACTCCAAGTCAAATCAAGATCATATCAAGTCATTATACCACTCTTGTAAGATTTTCCGGACATATTTGAAAGGTCAAACGAATATCGAATCCGGGGAGTCATACTCGAATTGAGCATCTCAACAAGATGAATCTAACGAGCCCAAGATCACTCAATTCAGACATGATTAAAGCACACTAATGTCCTCAAATGTAGTCTAATTGAAGAAGCTCTCCATACCGTCTGATCAAAGTAATTCATATTCCTGGATAAATTGCACTAAGAACACTATAAATAGAGTCTCACCCATCTCATGAGAGGGGAGGCTTGGGGCTTGAGAGAAAACCTAAAGCTTTGAGAAGGAACTGAAGTCCAGCACCGCCCATGTCGTCGTCAACCACTACTAATCGCTGTCGACCGCTTTCGACTATCGTCGACCACTCCCGACCGCCGTCAACCGCTTTCGACTATCCTCGTCCACTCCCAACCACCGACCGCCGTCAACACTATTGTCACCGTCAACCACCTTCAATCGTCGTCGACTACCGCTGACTGTTGTTGATTACCAGCAATCACCATCAACCACCACCAATCGGAAGCCGCTAGTCGACGTTGTAACTTGAAAAACTTAATAACCATTTCCTGTCTATGGGACAATAGACTCTTTAATCATCAACCTATAGTAGATTTTTATAATTAGGCAAAACCCCGTGATTTTTTCCCTTTTACGGGTTTTTCACATAAAAACTTCTGGTATCATTACTGATTATTTTCTTTTACCTGAGTGTGTGCTGAGTTCTCGTGCAACGCTAAGACAATAAACCATTACTCTACCGCCGCAAATTTTCTAGCACGCATCAAATATATTAAGGAGACTAATGGTTTGAGTAAAATGCCTATGATCTATGTACCAATATGGTGGATTTTGAAGCTAAGCAATGGTTAAATGATCCTAACGTTCTGGAGTACTTCAATAACATTCAATTGGATTTGCTGAGTACATGGAGCACAAGATTTTTATGATGCTTCAGCTCGGACATCTAAAACCAAGCGCTCAGCTGGATGTGGTAGAAATGGCACTTATTTTAAACATCATAAATGACATTAAGTTTTTGTGTGTCAAAGTATAATATTGGGATAAATGGAACTTCCACTGATGCTTAGGAACCTCCTAACTCTAAAAGATGACCAGCAACTTCAATAGATCCCTCAGTGAAAGCCAGCATTTGATCATAAATCTATTAAGAGCACTCAAAACATAGAAAGGCTCTGATAATAGGAGGTCCTTGAGGATTAGGATGATCCTCAGCACCAGTGAAAGTAAAAGTATCATTAATATGCTATTTAAAAGAATATGCAATGTGAGTGATGCAAACAAAAATACTTAGCTTCTGTTTGAGAACGTCTTTGATTTTCGTTTGGTTACACTGAATGCTGCCGCCTGAAAGAATTTACGGTGACAGACGTCAGATATTGCATCACAAGAACATCAAAATTTTATCATTTTAGAAGGGAGATAACAAGTCTAGGTCAACGCAACTTTCTAAAGAACTTGACGGATTCAAATGAAACCTTAAGCTTGCTTAGTTTGATTCCACTTGCCACAAGCAAGAAACTACGCACCTCGAAACGAACAGCAGCTAAAAAACAAAACCAGAATAGTTAGAATTCTTCCTCCTTCCTTCCACCTTCCACTCTTGCCCAATACAACAAATCCCTCCCTCTCTCACTCTCTCTCTCTCTCTCAATTTCCCTCAATCATGGATTCAATCGCCCATGCACGGCTTGCTCTCTCTCTCCTTCTCCTCCACTCTCTCTTCTCTCCATCCCTATCTTCTAATCCTCTGCGCCATCTTCTACAATCCGTCCCTCCTCCCCAAAACATCCCGACTGCCCCCTCCACCACTGTCCCCCCTCTCCCCATCTCTCCTCCCCTTCCCTCCTCTCCTTCACCGTCAGCACACAATTCCACCAACAGAAAAATAGCCACTGCGGTGGTAGCCACGGCCGCAAGCAGCTTCCTCCTCTCCGGCCTCCTCTTCTTCGCCTTTCTCCACTTCACCGCCAAACGCCGCCAGCTAAAACCCGGCCCTTTACCGCCCTTCCGGCCCATACCGGAAGCCGCTCTCAAGGGCGCAATCTCCGATGAAAATGGCCTCGATGTCCTCTACTGGAGAAGCCTCGATGACGCCGGACCGAGGCGCTGCGATCATTGCAACAGTCTTCTTCGAAAATCGCCTGGCGAGGAATACCGCCTCTTTCCGGTGAAGCAGGACGAACGCCAACACCAAAAAGTCCCTCTTTTACCTTCCGACTCTATCAATTCGTCTTCCACGGCGTTCGCCGCCCAGCCACCGAGTACTCCTCCGCCTCCAACTCCGCCTCCGCCGCCGCCGCCGAGTGCTCCTCCGCCGCCACCTTCGAAGCCTCCCGCGCCTCCAAAGCCGCCCGGGCCTCCGGCGCCACCGGCTAAAAAGGGGCAGGGAACGCCCCCTCCGCCGCCTGCCCGGCGAGGAGGAGGTCCACCGTTGCCTCCGGGATCTTCATCGAAACCGCCGCCGGTGCCGGATGGGGGGAAGGAACGACCTAGGATGAAGCCGCTGCACTGGGACAAGGTGACGCCGGCCAACGCGGGGCATTCAATGGTTTGGGACAAGATCACCGACGGATCAATTAGGTATTGTACCGTTTCCGATACTACTTCTCAATGGCTGTTGTTTATTTAAAATTTTCTCAAGAACATGTGCATCTGTAAATCAGAAATTAAACTAAATTTCTCAAATATTTAGTAATTTATTAAAATTTGATAAAAAGGATCAAACCTTCTAATTCGCTCTGCTGCTTTATAAATGCTCACTTCTCAGGTTCGATGATGATATGATGCAAGAACTATTCGGCTACGCCACCACCAACCGCAAATCACCGAATTCCAACTCCGCCGCCATTAAACCAAGCTCCCTCACCATCATCCCCAACCCCCCTCAAATCCGCCTCCTAGAACCACGCAAATCGCAGAACATATCCATCATCCTCCGCACCCTTGCCGTCAGCCGCGAGGAGATCCTTGAAGGCCTCCAAGACGGCCAGTCGCTCGCCGCCGACACGCTGGATAAGCTCTCCCGGATCGCCCCCACTCCTGAAGAGGAATCGACAATCCTTTCCTTTACCGGCAACCCATCTCACCTCGCCGATGCTGAATCCTTCCTCTTCCGCATCCTCCGCACCATCCCCGCCGCGTTTCCCCGCATCTCCGCCCTCCGTTTCCGCCGATCCATCTACGAACCCGAGATCCTTCACCTCAAGCAGTCTTTACAAACGCTCGATCTCGCCTGCAACGAGCTCCGTACCAAAGTTCTATTCATCAAGCTCCTGGAAGCCATTCTTAAGGCCGGGAACAGGATGAACGCCGGAACAGCGCGTGGAAACGCGCAGGCGTTCGATCTCACCGCCCTCCGTAAGCTCGCGGACGTCAAGAGCACGGATGGGAAAACCACTCTGCTCCACTTCGTCGTCGAAGAGGTTGTGCGGTCCGAAGGAAAGCGTTGCGCCGCCGTCAATCGCAGCAACAGTTTCCGGCGATCAGCGAGCCGGAATGCTAGGAGCTCGGTGGAGCAGGAAGGGCATCGGCAGGCCAGGCAGGATAAGGAAAGGGAGTATATGATGCTGGGTCTACCCATCGTTGGGGGACTCAGTGTAGATTTTGCTAATGTGAAAAAAGCCGCCGCAATCGACCACGATTCCGTCTCAAGCGGTTGCGAATCCCTAACGGCACGAGTTGCGGAGATCCGGCAGTTGATGGGAAGTTGGAAGGATGATGAAGGGGAATTCGTGAAGGAAATGAGGAGGTTCGTTGATGCGGCGGTGGAAGAGATTGAAAAGGTTAAGGAGGAGAAGAACAGCGTGATGGATAAGGTGAGGAGGACGATCGAGTACTATCAGCCGGCGGCGTCGAAGGACAAGGGGGCCAAGCAGCTTCAGCTGTTTGTTATAGTGAGAGATTTCTTGGGGATGGTAGATCAGGCTTGTGTTGATATTACCAGGAATCTGCAGAAGAAGAAGCAGCAGCGGCCGACGCCGCCTCCGCCTCAGCCGTCGATTGAGGAAGCGCCGGTAAGATCGCCGGAAAAATTGCCGGTGGGAAGACTGGCGTCGGTGAAGGAGGAGAGGATTACTACCAGGTTTCCAAACTTGCCGGCTCGGTTCCTGTCCGATAATTCATTGACCGGTTCTGATTCGGAGGAGGAAGAAGATAGCTTTTGAGAGGACTTCTTTTTCAATACTATAAAGTTTGCATTATTAACATTTTAATTGGTTTATGAAAGAAAAAAAGATTTTGCAAATTTAATTTCAATGCTTTGGGGCGGATTTGTAGCCACGGTTTGAGTAAGAATGTAGATGAAGCAATGCATTGGGATTCATTTCAATAATATTTGACCATCTTTTTTAAGTTTAGTAAGTAATAATTTTAAATATTTTTTTAAAACATAAAAGTTAAATGAATGAACATAATTAAACTCATTATTTTTTAAGTTTAGTAAGTAATAATTTTAAAAAAAAAAATTTTAATATAAAAGTTAAATGAATGAACATAATTAAACTCATTTTTTTTAATGTTTATGAATAAAGTTGTTTGTTATTTAACAAATAAGTTATTAAATGCTCTATATTTGTGTTATATGTTGAATTCTAGATTATTTGTGAATCACACTCAAAGAATAGAACGCAAATAAAAAGAGAAAATATAAAGAGAAAGAGAGAATGAATATTAAAAATGATATATGAATGCATTCAAACTGTCAACACGAATCTCATTTTTCGTGTATAAGAGCAGCCCAAGGCAATGGCCGAATAATCAAGGTATCATGATACAAGAACGTGATCCAAGCCGACTATTCAAACCATCGGACATATTATAACGAGAGATTCAATCGGAGGGTCATGCCTATATTCTCGAACCGCCTAAACTCTTCATAAGGGCGCCCAACCGCAGCATATTGGTCGACCAGTCTTTTACTTTGGTAAGCACGACCACCACTCGGCCTGTCGCCTTGGCCAACTGAACTTAAACGTGTTGACCAACTGGTTGCCTCCATATTTGAATGCAAATTATAAAATAGATTTGGTAACAAATCATCACGATTAAATTACATTAAAGACGATTCCCATATTCATTATCTCCTTTCTGTAATTGTACAAATACACCACTATAAATGGGAGGCAAAAGGACGGATAAAGGAACCTCTCCCTGTTTCTCTGTAGGGACTTTCTCAATTACTTTTACTCTTTATCATCCTCCTTCTCTTGAGATGCGTTTCCATAAAGAACAATTTAGGATTTAACATCTTAAAAGGTGATGCAGTGAGCATGGACATGCCCAGACGAGAAGCGAAGCTAACTACGAAGGAGAATCTCGCAGAGAGAAATAACATCCATGGAGTTTAATAGGAGACGGTTTACCGAGACATATAGGAAGATTTTAGGCATTGTGATGTAAATAATGGACTAGTTTGAAACTCTTCGAACGGCCATGATCCTGCAAAATGCCCGGCTGCAGCCCATGGAGGGCCTCCTTGATAATCCACCAGGACCCCAAGGGACCACATCATGTGGACCGAGTGGAAATTGCTCAAATGATCATGAGTAGCTCCTTCTTCTGAAAGATCCTGGAAATTGTGCCCCCGGCAAAGCTCGGGATTCCTCACTTTGATCCCTATAAAGGGAAGAGCAACCCGACCGACCACCTCGCTTCTTTTGAAGCAATTGTCGAAGTCCTACAGATCGATGACATCATGAAGTGCTGGCTATTCTTGACCACGCTGAAAGAATTAGAGCTCTGATGGTTCAATAACTTATTAGATGGAGTCATCCCGTCGTTCTTTGAATTACGAAAGCTCTTCCTGACGCATTTTGCTAACGTACATAAACCCAGGAAGGACACTAAAACCCTGCTTTATATCAAATAAGGGGAGAATAACCTGAAAGCTTACATCAACTGTTTCTAAAAGTAAATGCTCGAGGTAGAGAATTTAGTGCCCCTCATCATACCTGAAACAAGGGATCTACATAAAACAATTTGGTATGACCTGAAATTATTCAAATCAAGGACCTTCATGGAGCTATTGGAACTAGCAAATGATGACATCATCATCGAGGAAGACCTTATGGAATCCTCAAAAATTAAGCTTAAGGTATCTGACCATCGACCACAATAGCAGAAGGATTGGAATGATGATAGAAGACCAAAAAGTGACCGAGCCCTTGACTATCGATCAAACGACGACCGAGACAACCAGAAGAGCAACCGAAGCTAGCTGTGATGCCCCTCTGATCAGTGGTCGACCAAGTACTTTGAGCGGCCGCACGTGTACTAGGAGACACAAGGTTTGACAACCTTGAATGTGTCGATGGTTGAACTAGTCCATGCCATTCAAAATAAGGAATACTTCAAGAAAGCTCATCCGCTGAAGACCGCACCAACACAACACAATCTGAACAAATATTGCTCCTACCATCGGGACCATGGGCACGACATAGAAGAATGCCATAATCTCAAGATTTGATAGAGGAGCTCATCCAAGACAAAAATTTGAAAGATTTCATCGTTGTTGGAGCCCATACACAATGGCAGGGAGAGGCCCCATTAGAGAGGCCCGCAGATGGACCTGTTCGACTAGACAAAATCTACCTCACTGGGATCATCCCGGCTTTCTTTGGTGGAGGTGGAGGGTAATCCCGACCGCCTAAAAGACACCGATTGAGAAAGCCTCCGACCGTATTTTCAGGCAAATTTGATCCGAGTCATCGCTGATTATCCTCTAAAGTATGCGCTTACTCAATTAGAACATCTTGATTGATTGTTGAAGTTGGTGGTGGAACTCAGTGAGTACGACATCAAGTACATTCCCCAGACGACAATCAAGGTGCAAGCAATCGCCAATTTTTTTTTAAGACTTCTTTGAAGCAAGAACAACACGAAGGAGACTCGGTCGTCGACAGGACCTGGGTCGTACATGTCGACAAAGCATCCAATCAAGCAACTTTCAGATTGGGATTGGCGTTGAGAAGCCTAACCGGAGAACATATCTATCAGTCTATCACAATGGAGCTTGAAGTTATAAATAACCAAGCAAAGTACGAAGCGTTGATCGCGAAGCTTCGCTGGGCATATGAAATTGACTCTCAAGATTTGTTGGTAAAATCAGACTCCTTATTGGTAGTCAATCAAGTCATCGAAAAATTCAAGGCTCGAGATGAGCTTCTAATCAAATATCTCTCCAAGATGTGAAAGGAAATATGAAGATTCAAAAGCATCCGAATAGAACATGTGGGCCGCGGAGAAAACCACGTCAATGATGTTTCAAATCATTTCTCTTATTATTTTTAAAGGAGCCGCTAGTTTGTTCATCGATGTACTTGATACAAACTAGTTAAATGTTAATTTGAAATTCATTCAATTGTTTATTTAATTAGATTTGTAAAATTATTTGTTAATAACTTTGTATAAAAAATCAAATACCTATTTAAATTTTTAGTTTATTTACTAGTTTTTTATGAAAAATTAAGTACAAACTTTTTTTAAAAAAATTTATGTACAAAATCACATACTCATTCATATTTATTGCTTTTACAATTATATAAATGAACCAAACATAAAAGAATTGAAGTAAGCTAAATACGAACACATATGTGAAAACTCAGCTCAAGCTCAAATTGAACATGAATAATTTATGATTTGATGATGCCCCAATCCATGACATACTCAACTCTAATGAAAACATGTATTTCAACTTTCAAAAGTTAAAAATGATAATATTTTTAGATGATACGAAAGATTTTGATGATATAAATGTAAAAATTAAAGTGTAGGTGTCAGATATGTAAGTTGCAAGTGAGTCAATATTTTGCAACAATTTTAGTAGTTTTAAATTTTATGTGAATTAACCTATTTCTTACCTTATTGCCAATTGACATAGTTATTTAGGTTTTGTATTTATTTAGTTTGTTATTATTTTATTATTCTTTATTTGTTACTTGGACAAGGTCAATATTGCAATTCTTTTTTAACAAGTGATATTATTATAAAAGCTCTACGCCAATAATAATAATAATAATAATAATAATAATAATAATAATAATAATAATAATAATAATAAACTCAACTACCTCCAATTGTCATTTAGCATGACCATGTTCATATAAGATAAAAATATTTTGCAATTATAAATAAATTTTTTTAAGAAAAAATTAGCTCAGAGGAGAAATATTTGCGTACATAAGATGTACGCAGTTTTTTTAAGAAAAAATTAGCTCAGAATAAGGGCCAAAAATACACCCAAAAAGAATTCAAAATCAAAAGGCAGACAATTGAAAAAACAAACTTAATCCAATCCCTTATCATATAAGAATCATAAATTCTCCCTATCACTATGTCCTTCACTGAAAGCATCCTACAATTTCATAATCATTTCTCTAATTTTTCCCAATTAGCATAGAATAAGGGCCAAAAATACACCCAAACAGAATTCAAAATCAAAAGGCAGACAATTGAAAAAACAAACTTAATCCAATCCCTTATCATATAAGAATCATAAATTCTCCCTATCACTATGTCCTTCACTGAAAGCATCCTACAATTTCATAATCATTTCTCTAATTTTTCCCAATTAGCATTTAAAATTCAATTATTTATATATATTTGCATCTCCGGTAAAGTCTTGATACCTTTCGATGAACACATTGAAGTATTGAACCCAACAAAATATAAATTGATTTTAATTACTAGGCAGGAATGCATGTGAATTAGATTCTTTTCCTGACAATAAAATCATTTTGATGCAAAGGGTGTGTTTGGGGCATCGGTATGGTGTCGCACGGTATTCTTTTATGTTAGACAAAAAATATTTTGTCTACATTTTCAAAAAGCTACAGTTGATAGTCATGTTTTGCAACCTCACCTGCTAAGTAAGAAAAAAATTATAATAGCCATCGTAATTTTTTGAACAACAGTTTCATAGCTGCAATTACCCCGAATAAACCCCAAGTCTTTGCACCTCAACATCAACCATATGGTTTTCAATAAGTAGCTTCCGATTAAACAAAAGAATCGTTACGGCTAAGCTTTCATGTCAAATAAACTCACATAAAGATCCCAAATAATAATATCAGGAGCAATAACAGAAATAATTTATCTTTCATGATCCTAAGATTCTATGTGATTACCACAATAACTCACACTTCAGCAACTAAAAACACATATAAATCATAGCTCGCTATAAAGCAAGAAAAAAAAAATACAATAATTCATATCAACATCCAAACATCAAGTTTATAGAAAAAAAGAATAATCATTCTTAAACTACCCAATCTGTATTCCCTATCTAATCAATAACCCTATAACTCTGTAGTTAATCAATTCCTCCAAATTCATGATGTAGACACCCATATAACCTTAATCATGTAGCAAACCTCATCTTAGTATGAGAACACTCACTTGAGTTTTGAGCCTAAATCATTAAAAATAAATACTGATAAAAACATAGTTTCCTACATGCATCTGAAATCTATTTGAAAGATGGGATATTTCAATTATATACAAACTCACACTGAGTCACTAATAATCCATCAAAGAAAAATACAAATAGTGATAATTAAGCATAATTGTTAACACACAACAAAACTTTTTTTGGAACAAAGGAATTATATCTAATAATCATGGAAGACTACAACCATGAATACAAAGAAAGCTATAATCATCCAAGAACTCAATCACAACCGGCAAGCCTCAAACTCTACCTCATTCGTACCTTACCTTTCCCTGAAACCAAAAACACACACGAATAACAGATAAGCGATAAGCCGTGTAAGTTACATAAAACCTACCAATGAATTCAATGCACAAAAGAGAAAAGTAAAACCAATATAATTCATGTTAGTGTAAATACTTATAAGCTTTCATGTCACAAAATTCAGGGTTCATAACAGAGTTAATAAATCGTACAAATATTAAATATTTAAATTAACAAAACAAGAATAAGTAAATATCACTCAAAATCCATGCAAGTAAGAAGCTTTCTAACTATTCAGACAGAAAATAATAATAATAATAATAAATAAAAGGGTTTTTTTTAAAGATATTTCAAATTTCTTTTAAGTGAAAACATATTATGGTTGTCATCTCACCCATATGTTAATATAAGATAATATAACTCACCTTATACCTCCCTTTTGGAACCCCATATAAAGGACAACAATTGACTTAATCTCCCATGTAAGATAAAGAATATCCAATCAATTCAATCTTTATTTGCATTTATACAATCCATAAGGCAAATAATAAAGCCAAATTTTCTTAATTTCCAAAAAAAATCAGATGAGACATCAAGATCAAGTAATATATACAGATATACGACCTGAATTTATAAAACTCACAGAATAAAGTATTAAACTTATGTTAAAGTGTTAAGTCAATCGGAAATATTGACTCACTTCTAAAATGCATAGAATCACCAAAATGATATTATAGACTGCATAGAAACATGCATAAGGTAAAACTCCTTGAAAAAAATAGAATAGAAATTATTGTTGAGGTGTAGAAAAAATGCAACATAAGTATCTGTAAAATTGTAAGA